TTCTCTGGGAAGAGGAAGTACTTCCTCACTGAGGAGGATTTGTAGTAAACAGCTGAATGAGGCCCTCTCAGGGTTCTGAAAACAGCTCCTTCACCCTCCTCCACCCGATGTGTGTGTATGCCGACACTGAGCCACTCATCTCTGTGTGTTTGTGTATTGTGCTTCTTAATGTATAATACAGTGGACTTAAACGTATCATTGACAAAGGTTTTCCAGCTCCAGGCGCTACCTTCCAGGTGCAAGGCCAACTACCTGTGTGACAGCAGCATCTGCTGGTAGCTGGTAGAGTTGCAGCAGTAGAAGCAGCTCCACAAGCTTCAAAACAACATGGGTCAGTCTCCAGCCTCAGCTTTGCAGTGAAAAACTTGCATATCTAAAAATTTGGCAAGTGTATATTTAGTTATTTTAACATGATGAAACTTAAAATTTGAGTTGTGATGCAAACATCTTTGTACATAATCGTAAAGTTTTTATATGGTGACAGAACCTACAGAACATCTTTAAACAATGAAAACTAAAGTAAATGAAATGAAAACATAGCCATTAAAAACACGTGTACACTATTTAAAATTCACTCAACTACAACACGAGAGACTCGACTGCAATTTCAGTCCCTCACCTCTGCAGTCGGGCAGACACACCCATATTCAGACTTTGGATTAAATGACCAATAATCAGCTTTTGTATTTTAACAGAACCAAATTACCACAAAAAAACCCAAAACAGAACAAAAAAAACTCACACTGAAATGCAAGCTGGTTTTGCTCTTTTACAGTGAAGAAGTTTTTTTTTTTTAACAGGCAGACTGTCAGATTTCCTCTAACAGCAAAACAACCGGCAAAGCTTGTTTTCCTGGTTTCGTTTCTAAGGAAAGTGAAATCTAAAGGGAGTTACTACACAAACATACAGATCAGCCATCGAAAGCAGCAGATTTACGCAGGTAAGCGTCTTGTTTTCTAGCGGCTACATTTTTGCTTACTTTTGCTCACATCACTGCTGACAAATTTACACCCAATCACTAATGCAGCATTTATCAGGTGACAAAATATTTACAGTTACAATGAAGTTGACCGTTTTTTGCATTAGATTTCACTATGAAGTGGATTACATTTCACTCCGTCTGTCTTCTCATAAGTTTTTCTTGCAAATACACACACTCCTGCAAAATTGCACTTAAGTCTGCAGCAACAGACAATCAGTCTGTTTAAAATCAGTTTAAAATCTAGTTAGTTTAGGTGATTTTCATGGAACCAGTGGCAGACTGAAAAAATTAAATTCTAAATTAATTCATTAGGATCACTGTTTGGACAAATACAAATATTAAGTCGTTTTCGTTACAAGTCTTTGACTCTAAAACTGCCATAAAACAATATCTACTTTGTTTTATTGCTCTTCTTTAACCTGACCGTTTAGGGACTTTTACTTTGTTATTTATCTGAAACGGAAAGGAGGCTTCATCATATAATGGATGGTATTAATCAGGGGGGAAAAAAAACCTGTGAAACCCGTTTTAAATAATGTTTAAATACAGAGTAGGACAAATGATTGCATGGTAATGAAAACATCACATAATTATTAGATCACTGGTCATAATGACAGCATTGACTAAAATATGCACGAACAATAAAACTAATAAACATAACTTTCTCTACAGGATGATGATGACGTCAGCAGGAATTACTGTGCTGTGTGGCTGTGTGGCTCTGCTCCTGACCCTGACTTCTGTGTCAGCTGTAAGACGAACACTCAATTCAATCAATGATTTGATGTCAGTAGGCTTCGGCCAGTCTGTGCCGATCCACAGTCTTGTGCTGCTCCACTGGTTTGCCAACACTGTTAACATTGACAGAAACGATGTCATACATCTGACCTTTAACCCAAAGCATGATTATGGGTCCCACTATTATGGCAACAGTGGGGGGCTGTTTGAACTATCGCTGGGATCCACATACTACACCATTGGTAACATCAATGAATCAACAGCAGCCCAATTACCACCTCATGTCCGAGCCCAGTCAGGACATGGAAACAGAGTTCGAGTCGTTATTAGAGTCAGGGAGGCATATGGAGTGCGACAAGTAGAGCATGTCTATATCACGCAGCATTATCACCAATTTAACTATCGAAGGTCAGATTATGATCCAGATCAAACGTACGAGGTCACTACCAACCTCTTAAGAGAGATCAGAGAGTTTTCTATGGACAGTCATGACATGATATCATTAAGGTATCTTAGGGATCGCTTTGGACGCAGGGCTAATGATTCCCAGTTAGAATGCATCAGAAACATGTGGGGTCACCTTGCTTCTCTCGGACTGTTGTTCCACATTGTGGGGTATACTGGGCCAGTACAATCCTACTGTAACCAAGCCCAGTTGGCATCAAGAAGAAATGATTCATGGAGCAACATTCAAGACTGTCCAGGTTTCTTATGTCGTTTGTTGTTAGTAGTTGTTTTGGTATTTTCTGTTTTGTGTTTTCTTTTGTTAGCAGCAGCAAATAAAAAGTGAGTAAACAATGTGAAGAGAAAACTTGTTCCAAGATAGACTCAAACTAACTGTAACTGTTGGACCAGAAAACCATCTGGATCTTTATTTTGAACATGGTCTTCACTTGGTTTGGAAAAAAACAATTAGCCAGTTGCAACATCTGTACCACTAGATGACTGATGAGAAATTTTGTAAAAGTGTTATAAAACTTTCCACTTTTCACTTTTTATTTTTACTCTCTAATATGAGTTAATTTTATGCTAAGTTTGAAAGTTTTAAATGGATAGACCCACAGCATACTTGCAGTAAAAATCAATATTTTGTATATTAGCTACTCAAAATGGTTCTTACTGTGTATCATCTGTACAATGTCTCCTCATGTGTAATCTAACAGTAGTTACTCCCAGCAGATTCATCCAGTGAGGCTCAAGGACAATAATGCTGATGGAGGAATGACAGACATGTTGATTAAGAGTGTATTTGACTGATGCTTTTGCATTTTCTCTGTAATCTTGAAAATTTTGTGCTCATTAAACTGTATTTTCAAGCGTGAGATGGCCATTTTCAATGATGTGTTGTCAAAAATTGTATTAGATATATGTGCATTGTTCAAAATGCAAACTAAGTGCATGCCCTGGTCCTTGGGCAAGACACTTCACCCATTGTTTTCTTGTGGTGGCCTTTAGGCAAACAAAAACATCAATTCTCAAACAAAATGCAGACACAGATTATGTGCAAATATTTCAATCCACTCGAGTAGTCATGAGCTGTGACACATATATTTTTGGACACAAAAATAATCTCAAGTTTTTATATAGTGACTACAGATCACCTTTAAACAATGAAAACTTAAATTAAGAAAACAACAATCATTCAAGAAAAACGCCAAATTCAAAAACATGTGCACAATGTGTGAAATTCATATGTGATCATTTGCTACAGGAGAGACTACTGCAGTGTCACAGTGTGACACCCTGCCATAAGGCAGACACGCCCATATTCAAAGTTTCCATTACAAGCCTGCTCATAAATGGCCAATAATCAGCTGTTAACAGACATGTGACTGTCAAACTACCAAAGATAATGAAATGTTTGTCTTTGAAAACGGAAGGAAGTCAAATAGTGAGACTTGTTTTTTTGACTTCCTCTTCACAACTGTCAAAACTCGTTACGCTGGATTTATTTACAAGGAAAGCGAAACCTAAAAGTTACAACTGCTCTCACACAACAAATAGATCAGACTGAGAGAAGCATACCGACACAGGTAAGTTCCCTCATTTTCTAAATTCCTTGCTCGACTGGTGAGGAATTTACCCACGTCTCTAATGCAGAATCTATTCCACAGGTGACAAAATATTACATTTACAACAAAGTGGATTTGACATGGAGTCTGTTACCGTGCACTACGTATGCCTTTTGACTAATTACAAGCATACATACTTCCATTCAATATGATCTGCAAGTCTGCAGGATTAGTATTAAAGCTTTGAATTTTAATTTGTATAACTTCCTGACACAGTTATTGGGAGTGTCGTGAAACCAGTGCCATGGCCAATAAAAAGTAAAATACAATTCATTAAGATTAGCAACTGGCTTTATCTAATAAAACATGAAAACATTTTCGGAATCTCAAACAAAATCTGCTTTGTTTAATTACTCTAAGCGGACCGTTCAGTGATCCCGCCCTCTTGTTTATCTGAAGCTGACAGGAGGCATCAGTGGACAAATCAAACAAGTTTTGATTACAAATGAAGAGTTACTAGTGTGACACTCCCCTATCATTACCTCCTCTCAGGTCCTGTTAAGGAAGTTAAGACTGTTTGGGAAAACAAGAGAATTTCTGAATTTAAGTTAAAAACAAAATATCTTTATTTAAGAAATAAAGAGACATTTTTAGAAATGATTTTGTAACTTTGTAACATTTGTTGTTCTCTGGGTTAACACCCCCCGTCTAATTTAAGAAAACTTTAATTTACTTTTCCTGGTGAATGGCTAATACCATTTACCAGGAAAAGTAAATAAAACCCGTTTCAGTGTTTATACGACCAAATGATTAACGCTTAATTACAAACTAGGAAAGAAAAATTAAAGTCCTAAATGGTAGCATGATTGATAAAAATATGTAATCATAACTATTATATGCATCACAGGTCACAAAAATAGACAAAAGAAAACCTTTTAAGGACGGAAAATGCATGGATTCACTAACTACTTAAATCTCTCTACAGGCTGATGAAGATGTCAGGAAAGATCATCTGCTGCTGTGTGGCTCTCCTGATCTTTACATCAGTTTCAGCTGTAAAACGAATGCTCAATTCAATCAGTGATCTACAGTCAGTCAGATTTGGCCCATCGATACCAATGGTGAGCCAAGAATTGCTCCGCTGGTTTGCCAACAAAATTGAAATTGATACAAACGGTGTCATACGAGTGAACTTTAACCCACACTGTGATTATGGCTCACATCATTATGGCAACTTTGAGGGGTTGCTAGATGAATTGCCAAGGGGGTACAGATACTACACTCTTGGCAATGTCAATCAACAGACATCACTCCAGCTTCCATCTCATAGGAGAAACAGGGCCCGAATCATAATTAGAGTCAGGGAGCAGTCACAGACAGTAGACCAAGTCTATATTACACAGCATTATCAGACATTTGACTACCAAAGGTCAGAGTACGATCCAGAACAAACGTACCTGATCTCTACTAACCTCCTAAGAGAGATCAGAAGGGCTCGTATGGACAACTCACTGATACATCGTGTAAACGCGTCCCAGCCAAGGGACACTGGAAACAGACAGGCTGCAACAAGAAGAAATGGACAACCTAATGGTTGGAACAACGATTGGTTGATCGCTTTGGTTGTTTGTGTCTTCATTTTGTTCATTTCCTTTTTGTCAACAGCAAATAAATACAACAGATAGTGCTGTTCGATATAACGATATATATCGGATGACGATATAAAAACGTCTATCGTT